TGGGAATTATTTTAGTTTTTTGTGATTCTTCCATTTCCCATGTTCAGATTTTCACTAAAAAAGATGATCTTACTTGGAAGCTAAGAAAGGAGGATGTCCAATCAATGCAGTAAGACCCTGTAGATCCTGTAGACCCTGTCCTAAGATACAAAAAAAAAAAAAAAAAAAAAAAAAAAAAAAACAGAACCAAAGAAAGCTTGTCTTTCAAATGGAAAGTATCCACTTAAATAATTGGGTTGACTTGTACAAAATAGTACAATTAGATTTTTCATTATTATTACTGTGAATACGGTTGATGCATTCAATATATTATTGTATTTATTGTGACATGTACATTATAGCTATCATATATGTTCTTCATTAATATTGGAAAATTAGAGTTATGTGCAAGCAGAATTACTCAAATGTTTGTGAGGACTGAAAACAGAAATTATGACTTTATTTTGTGGTTGCTATTACCAAGAAGGCTTGGTTTCCATGTGTATTTTTTGTGTGTTTCCATGAGAAGAATCCATTTTAAAAATGAACTGCAGATAACACGTCTCATACCACTTTGACATAGCGGAATTTAGGTTCACATGTGCACTCCAGTGGAGAGATAGATTAAAATGTATAATATAATGACTAAAGTTATTATTGAAGAGAGAGATTAGTAGAAAACTTCTTGACTGTATCTTAAAATGTGCCCCTACGTGTTTCTTATGCGGCTGCACTCATGCCTTGTAGACCCACGTTTCCCATTTGTAGCTCGCGTTCTGCTTGCGTCAGAACGCCCAGAGGAGCTTGCTGGATGCTGGCTTCCTGAGCCCAGGGCACATTTCCCATCAGACTCCACGGCGGATCCTGGGATCTGCGCCTGCAGCAGCCTGCCTGGTTCTGGGTGTGACGGACGTTCTCCGCTCTGGCCTCCCATTCTGGGTGCTACTGGCTGCTCCATGCACTCGGGAGCATTACTAGCTGCTTGTGACGACGGAGCGGCGCTGCTTTCACATTCAATTTAACTAAGGCTCATTAAGGCAATTCATGAGGGATCTCAGGGACTGAACTTGGCATTCAGGGATGGAAACAAACTTGGAAGAATCGTAGAGTCACAATATATTCTAGCATTGTAACAAATGCTCTTTTCCAGTATCATTTGTTTAATTTTTTTTTTTTTTTTTTTTAAGCAAATCAAGAGCTGGCCTCACATTGTTCTGTGTTTCTATTCTTAGACCTGCATTGGTAATTTTGAAGTGTTTCAAGGTTATTTGGCAGAGCAAACTAAAGGGAAAAAAAATACTTGCAAGAGCGTAAGCTCTCACACAGCCTTTTCCCTTTAATTTCAGATGCTTCCCTAAACAAGCATCTTTAAACAAAGATAGGGGAGGTGGAGCTCTGAGTCCCAGTAATGTCATAACTTATTGAGCTTCCTGGAGCTGTAGCATCCCCACAACTAAGCTGAGGTTCTGGTGGGCCCTGGAACTTTCTGCTGTCTGCTCTGTCTGGGAGTGAGTTTCCCCTACAAGCTCATGCGTTCTCTACTTGCGAGCTTTGGTAAGGACAAAAGGAGCATCAGTATTGGCTTGCACACTGTGTGCAGTTAATTGAAGGTCATTCCTAATGTGTAGGTGCATTCTCCCACAAAATTAAAACATTAGAGATATAGATTTTTATTGGTCATTTGTTGGTTCTATTCTAGACTATTCTACTACTCCTCATGCTTCCTTCCTAAAGCCGGCCTTGTTAGTGATGTCGTCTTCTTCCATCCTGCTAACACAGGGGCATTCGAGTCCTTTCCCTCCCCGACAACACATACTTGTGTGCACACACATGGGACCCCTGGCTTTGCCTTGGTCTTTCTGGGCCTTTTTTGCCCCCTCACCTGTAGATGCTTCCCTATCCTTGCTTGGTTACAAAGGCATATGTTTGCTAGTTAGAGTTCACCATCATTCTGCTCAGAATATAATGAGATAAGTAGTTGCAGAACTGGGTTTATATGCAGACAAGAAAAACTATCAGGTTCCTAAATGTCAGCCCTGGTTCCCAACTAATTCAGAAACGTTAATTATTTTATCACTCTATTAAGAAACTGCAGACTCCTTCCCAGCCTTAAGAATGGACTAATTTGCTCCACTTTGGAATTGAATTAGCTCTCAGACCAGCGGGGCACGGGTAGGTAAATTGCTTTTTCCAGTACTGGCATGTTTCCTCCCACAGTGCCTCTGTTGGCTTCTGAGTTTATAACCTCCAGGGAAAAATGAGAATGCTCACCCTTTTAATATGTGTAGAGACCATGCAAGACCATTGTCTTCCAGTAATTAGGCAGAGCTCACCATTTTATCCCCGCTAACTGCACATGGTGGGAAGCCCGCGTTCTACTTGCCACAGCCTTTTGAGCTTCTAATGATTTTTTAAACTATTGGTGTTGATGTTTTCATTTTACATGTACTTTTAAAGGAGTCTCCACTTGCATGGAAGGCTAACCTCTTGGCCCTTCTCTTGGAAAAATCTAGAGAGGGCTTTATGTGCCCCTGCTCTGAGGAACCCCCTCTAGCACTGCCATGCTGTGCTGTCACAGTCCCTCCTGTCCTTCCTGAACCTGCAGCATGTCTTCATCAGTGTTCACCAGTGAGGGACCTTCAGGGGCTACCTGCTCCTTCCCTCCTGCCGTGACCTCCTCGCCAGGCTCAGCTCTGTATAGACTACTACTAGTTTCCTTCTTAACTTCTGGATAATTATTTTAGATATTTGAAAAGTGTACAATATAGGGCCAGCAATATAGGTCTTGAGTTTAATTCCAAATACCAAAACCAAGTGTATAATATAATCTTTGGGAAAATTTTAGGATGAAAAGGAAGAGCAGGGGTACCCTTCTGGTCCCATCTGTGCCCAGTGCCACTCCAGGCACCTCTGGCTCCACGGGAGGCTTTCCTCCCCTCCTCTCTAGCCCCTCCCCAAGGAAAGGAAGGCATGTGAGCAGACTCTAGCTTCTCAGGTTTCTTCAGTACTTCAGCTCCATGCCATCTTCTTGGTCTCTATGCTGTCTCCTGTTCCTCAGGACAAGAGACGGCAGATGCCATCAGATGAATACCTGCACTTTCCTCCTGGCTGAAAGCCGAAAATGTCTTAAGTAGTTCTGTCCAAAATGTAAGCACTTCAGCAGTCAGTAATATCCCAGTCAGTAGTTTTCCACTTGGACCTAGGTCAAAATAAGAAAAAGTGTGTTTAAATTGCAGTGTAATAGAGAACTCTTTGACACCAGACAATCCAATGCCAGAATGGCACATTCAAGGCCCTTCCATCATTTCACTCCTGAAGATGCTTGGGGTGGGGAGGAGGAGAGAAAGGAAGGCAGGAGAAAGGAAGAAGGAAGGAAAGAAGCAAGCAAGGAAGGGAGGAAGCAAGGAAGGAAGGAAGAAACACAGAGACAGTTACTGTGAAGCAAAATTCTAATCTTCGTTCTGCCAAGAAGGACAGGAACGTGTCTGTGGCAGTGCAAGGTACACCCCACTTCTACATTTTCTATGTAGCTGGGGTTCTTTGAAGCCCCTGCCTCAATCCCCCCCCCCATCACAGTACTTGAAGCCATGCCTAGGACATGACTTTAAGCCAGAGCCCATGGGAGCCCTGGTGTCACCATGTTCCACATACAATGAGCCGCAGAGGCTCCCCATACCAGGTGCAGCCTTTTTCTACCTGCTAGAACTACTGAGCTCTGGCTAAGAAGGGAGACCCATTCATGCACCATTGAGAGGGATAGCTACCACCTATTAGGAAGGGGTTAGCCCTACAGGAGTCAAGAGAGGTCTACAGTAAGGGACCCAGCCCCTCCATGGAGCACGTAGGGACATGCATGTGTCAGGTCCAGCCTCTACTGATTCTGGGCCCTGGGCCCAGCTTTTCCAGCCCACATTCACCCACTCTTGAACCCCAGGCACAGCGCCTGGCTGGTCATGCGTAGAGCTGCCACTCTGGCCCTTGCCCCACTTCCAGAGACCCTGGGCCCAGCCTCCCAGCTTGCTACTGAGCAATTTAAACAGGGTTCTCATGTGCCAGGGTATGTGAAACTGAGGCATGTCAGGAAAGGAGAAACTGAGGCCTGACACAAAAAAGGGATGAGACCCACATGACTCTGGGCCTTCCCCTGCACGTGCCTGTTGCTTACAGTCCAGGCTTGCTCTGAGCCTTTGGTGTTCAATGTTGACATAATACAAAAATGCGCATGTGTGCACATATGTGCATGTGTGAACACATACACACATGCATGCACACACACACACACACACACACACACACACACACACACTATGCTTCAAATAATAGGAGAAGGTTACCTGAGATGCAGACTTCATTCCCAAGCAATGTTATTATTTATTTTCTAAGAGTGTCATTTAGTTTTACTTGTTTATAAAGTGACTTAATCTTTCAGGGAATATATTACAGTGTGTTTTTTTATTTTTCAGGGATGACAGCTTAATTAAAGAAAATGGTTCTTTTTAGTCCTTAGATACTAAATCTTCAATATTTCTGAGCCTGAGACTGCAGGGGTTTTATGAGAATCCACTGCTTTACAGGATAACAAGACGAGGCCTAGCAGAATGCTACTGAATGTTTTATAGTTCCAAATCTGTGCACAGAGAGACTATGCTTCTCTCTGTGGGGAGAAAAGTGGCTTTAATGATAACCAATAGAATGCTGCAATGTTTTAAGGAACAGCCGTGACAGTTCTTTTGCCTTGACCCCCGGTCCCAGACTCCGCCATGCTGTTCTTCCAGACGGTCGCCACAGCGGTCTTCTCTACCCCTCTGAGCCCCTTCCTCGGAAGCGTCATCTTCATCACATCCTACGCCAGGCCAGTGAAATTCTGGGAGAAAAACTACAAGTAAGAGTCCAAATCCATGCTTGCCTGTTCTCTGTATGCTGAAACCCCTCTCCTTTCCCCTTTGGAAATGTGAACCTCAAGCTCCTTGGTGGGCCAAGTGTCTGAGCCAGGCGCCCTGATGCTCCCCGTCCAGCACCTCTGCTCCTGGGAGATGGAATTGATTACAGATTAGGGATCGGATGCTGCTCCAGATCTGTCTGGCTATAAAGCAGCTGACCCAAGAGAGGTGCTGGACAAGCCTGGTCTGGTCACGTGATGTGTCATGATTGCTCCTGTCTGGCATGTCCCTTCCTCCTGTGGGAGTGCACAAAGGACCCCATCCTGCACCAAGGTGCATAAATATGAGAGGGAGGGAGGGAGAGAGAGAGAGAGAGAGAGAGAGAGAGAGAGAGAGAGAGAGAGAATGCTGTTGAACTTGTAGAACATTATCTCTTCACATTCTTCTTGACTATTTGAACTGGTCACTCATTTTATCAGCAGACAGTAATGGGATAGAGGCATTATTTCTCTTGTAGTTACTATTCTGTGGTGCTGGGGACAGAGCCCGGGCCTTATATGTAAGTGATAAACCCTTATGCTTTATCACTTAGCTATGTTTCCGGCTCAGGTGTTATTTTAAAGCAGGGTGAGAAGACAGGAGTAACTGTTGGTTAAATAATTCTAAAGATCTCTTAATAATTTGTAGGGAATGACTTGAGATCACGAGGACCACGGAGAGCTGTGATGCAGGCTGTGCTGAGCCAGTGGAGGGCCCAGGCAGTAGCTCTGCTTTACCAGCTATACTATATTATTGCATCGGAGTCCTAACCCACTTTCCATAAGGCATTTATATTTTGTAGAACTTTGGCACATTCTAGTGTCCCTGTTATGTATCAGAGTCCAGTGTGAAGGTAGGACACTCATTTATCATGTTTGTCCTTTGAGAAGGCTTATTCGAGCATAAAATATGTATCCTGAGGTAGGCTGTGTGGCATTGTGATTAAAACACAGCCTTGCGCTCCAGGCTGCCAGGGCTCACACTCTGCCTCCGCCATGTAACTCTGGGGACCTCACGGTGTCTTTTCTCATCTATAAAGTGGGGGTGCTGTCCTAAGGCAGGTCTTGGACACAGTGGGCTTGCGCATACTGGGCCAGTGTGACCCTCTTCTAGGATGGCTGCCCTGTGGAGAAGCCCCTGTCCCCACCCGGGAAGGGCTAACAGGTTCTCACCATGACTGAGGGCATCGCCTTCCCAGTGAGCTCACTCAGGGCAAACCAGAGCGCTCTCCTGAGCTGGTGCTGGGAGGCCAAGAAGGTGGTCTCTGGAGGACCTTTTGCAATAAAAGCAAAGTCGTCTTGAAATTTATGCCTGAACAAAACAGCTCCTTTGTATTATTGTCTAAGGAGATACAGCCAGAGACCACCAGCTTGCCTTTAAGCTTCATGTAGGAGAAAACAATTTTGAGGACCATTTCTGAGCTCTGCACATCACTTCTGCAAAGCCCACCTACTTGTAAATAGGGGAGTGGCATCCTTGCAGGTTCTTCCCTATGCAGGAAAGGACAGCACTAAACATTTTGAACTTGCTCCTCAGCTTTATAGGTTTATTTTTGCCCCTTTGTCTCAGACAAGGAATCAGTCCTTCTGGTACAGGAAGAGTTGACGCAAGTAAAGCACATCCTGCTTGAGCAGAACACAGGGCAGAGGTGCCTCTGCGCAGAGGCCGTGTGAAGGGAGGCAGCCTCATCACTGCGGAGTATGATGTGCTGTTATGGAGCCTCCTCACTTCCAAGAGTCCGCCTCCTCAGGGGATGTGTTCAAGTCGGAACTGCCAGTTCATGTCATTTATTTAATCATACGGGGTTCTAGAGTAGGATTTAAGTTTCTTTATTCAACCTCAACTCATTCTTCGCATTAGTGAATAATGCAATTTAGCCTTGTGTTATCTGTATGTTTTGGGTAAAGGGGTCTCTCAGGTTGGAAGGGGACATCAAGGGCTGTGGGGACACACCTGAACACTTTCAATTCCACTCAGGAAAGAGTTCTTGGTATATAACTCAGTCTTTGGAAGGCCCATTGTCCTCTAGAAGGCTTCAGTGTTGGGAATCCCCAGGCCGTCTGCTTCAACCATCAGTGGGTGGACTTCAGGACAGTGGAGAAGTGGGTACCGGGAAAGGCAATACCGGGAGCTCCATTTGTGCTCTTAGGCGCACCCTGGAAAACTCACATTAGTTACTTTAGCCTTGGGTTTGTATTTTTAATTTGAAATACTAATGGGTTTATCCGTAGCTATTCTAATTACTTTCTTTTCAGTCTGCTACAAAGAAGCAATCAGTTAGTGTAAGTGATTCTGCTTAATTATTTATGCTTGTTCCATTGTTTTCAAGGAGCCACCTCAGACCCTCTTCCCTGTGAGCACATTCGCCACAGGGAGAGGCTCCCTCCATGCAGGTATCCCGTGGCCAGCCTTCCCTGTCATGTCCTCCTCTCCCCGCCTTCTCTGCTCCCTCGCTGTGCCGTCCCTCAGTGCTCACTTCAGGTCTTTGAAGCTAACTTTGAGTGGTGTAGATCGCTAGGGAGACCTGCGCTTCAACAAAACTGTTTTAATCCTGGAGGAAGTATGAGGTCATCTTCCAGCAGCCTGGGAAGCATGGCTGCGCCATTCCCCTGTTGGCCTGTCTCAGAACCTGTGGACTCCCCATCCCTCAATTTTGTGCCCACTGGAGCATATCATAGATATGTCCCTACCTGTTTATTGCCTTCCCCTCACTTCCTAACTAACTTAATGGTTATACTCTTCCCTCACATAGTTCTAGATTAGCTCTGAGTATGTCATCCAGGAGAGCTGCTGAGTGAGAGTGAGGAGAAGCCCCAGGCAGGGGGCACTCCCAGGAGGAGTTCTGGGTGATGGGAGGCCCCGTGGATGCCCTTCTGTCAGGGTGCACCCCAGCCATACTGGTGACACAGGAACCCTTGTGGTGCAGCTGGCCTCTCCAGTTCTCCTTCTCTGAGATCATTTGCATGTAAGGAGCCCCTGTGGGTCACACACTTTCCAGCACACCTCCCACAGGTAGGTTCTGTCCAGCACCTCTCCCCTCGTGTTTCCCTGGCCGCGCCTGTCACAGATTCACCCCCTGTCTCCTGCTCATGTCTGAGGCACTCATCCAAGGCCACCCTGCCATGATGTTGCTTCTGTCACTCCAACTAGAAATGCTTTCCTCTTTCTTAAATTCAGGGACAAGGCAGCCACCAGAAACTGCAATGTCAAAATGACCACAAACCTTGTATCATCCCCCAACATTGCAGTAGGTCAGAAATTGGGTGGGAATAGGCAGGCAGAAGGCCATGAGGTTTCCTTTGCTGTTGTGGTCATGAGGTTCCAGGGGGGTGGGGGAGCGGCTGAGCAGAGTCCCAGCTGAGGACAACAGAGGTGCTCCATGCCTTTCCAGGTGGTCCCAGGGCTCATCTAGCTGTGGTCCTGGCTTGCTACATGGAGGTTTGGATTCCCAGAGTATTGCAGCCTCAGGGGCCCCAGAAGTGTGCTAGTAATGAGGCGGCAAGTTCATGACTTTTTTCTAACCCACCTGCATCAAGCCATGCACTCCCAGAGTCTAAAGGAAGGGAATCGTTCTGCCTCTGTCTGGAAGGACAGCTTTCCTTCTTTACTCCTTGCCTGTGTTTGTTCCTCTTCCCTGTGTTTCTGTCTTCTCTCCTTCAACTTGCAGTACAGCATGCCTAGATTTGTTTTAGGGTCCCTTACAACCTTCCTGAATCCTTTCTAGAATGGCAGAACACGGTCACCTCACCGAGTTCAATGACACATTTATACATTACATGACAGCCGTCCGCACCAGCAGTCCCTGAGAGCCCTATAAACATGAGCTTTCCCTCCGGTGCTGTGTAGTTTCATACCTTTCACAGAGCACCACGTCTAACCCTTGACCTTCACATCTGCCTCAGTAGAACAATAGGATCGCTAAGTCCCACCGTTTTGTGGTTTATCTAATAGAGAAGTGTGTGATGAAATCTTGCAGCTCTCAGTGAGCTCTGGCAGGGCTCGCCAGGTTACTTCCCAGCCCCTTCATGCGTTTGCTTTAGGGTGTGTGTGTCCCCTGTTTAGGGGCACAGTATTTTCCCTGTGTTCTCCAGGAAAGGGAGGCAGCCAGCTGCTTACACTTCCGGTGGACAGGTCTTTGTCTCGTTGTACTGAGTCTGCTGTTTGAGGTGTCACCTGTTGCCACATTCAGAGGACTGAGTCCAGTCCTGAACAAGCCAGCATGAGGCTAAACAGTTCTAAAAGTTCTTTATAAAAGTCTATGGACCTTGGACATCCTAGCTATTTTCTTGCAGTCATTCCTAGGTTTGTTTGAAGTCCTCTCCCTGACTTCCTTCATGGTCTGCTCCTGATGTCCTCTAGTCAGCTCACAGCAGGGGACTCTGTTGCTTCTATAAGTCAAATGTTCTTCTCTCTTTATGATTCTTAAAAGCTAGACCTTCTCCGTTATTTTACCAAATGGTGGCCGATTCAAACCTTCAGTGTCCCGGTCCTATGGGACTGTGTAGTTTACTGAAAATAAGAATTTGCACTTCATCAATTCTCATCTTGCTGGATTTAACCCAGCATTCCATCGTATGTTCCCATCTCTCCAGTCTCCTTCTCTGGCTGCAGACAGCTTTATCTGTCACCACCTGGCTTTTTATTCATGCTTTGTTAGTGACGACAAACAGGAAGGGATTGGTACAGTGGTTAGGGTGGTCAGAGAAAGTAGTTCTTAAATCTACACTGAATTTTGAAAGATCTTCAAGATGGATTTTGCTGGGTGTTCTGTTTGAAAGGTGGTTTATGCAAAGCACTGAGCCTCTTACAAAGCTCTTTTTTTAAAGTTTGAAACAAGCATCTCTCTCATGGACTGAGAGAGAAATGCAGTCCTGTAATTAAGATTTCCTCTCCGTTTAAAGTTATGCAGGGGAAGATTCCCATAATTCCTCTTACAGTTAGATTATTCCAGAACTTACTTGGG